GTGTGTGTGTGTGTGTGTGTGTGTATATATATATATATAAATTATGTATTATCTACATAAACTGTGGGATTGGCTGCACACGGTAGGTCACACCTCTAATCCCAGCACTTTGGGAGGCTGAGGCGGGTGCATAACCTAAGGTCGGGAGTTTGATACCAGCCTGAAGAATATGGACAAATTCTGTCTCTAGTAAAAATACAAAGTTAGCTGGGAATGGTGGCGCATGCCTATAATCCCAGCTACTTGGGAGTCTGTGGCAGGAAAATCACTTGAACCTGGGAGGCGGAAGTTGCAGTGAGCCGATACTGTGCCACTGCATACCAGCCTGGGCCACAAGAATGAAACTCCATCTCAAAAAAACACAAACAACAATAACAAAAAAGAAATGAAACAAAACTGTCAAGGACTCACATGTCTTCATTCAGAGAAAGCTCCAAGGATGATTTAAAAGAGCAAGCTATCTTGTTTTCTACCTTGGAAACATGAACATTTTCAGAACTTGCAGGATAAAATACCATAACAAAACATTCATCAGGCCGGGAGCAGGGCTCATACCTGAAATCCCAGAACTTTGGGAGGCCAAGGCAGAAGGATCACTTGAGGCCAAGAGTTCGAGACCAGCCTGGTCAACATGGTGAAACCTCATCCGTACTAATAACACAACAATTAGCCAGGAGTGTAGCACGCGTCTGTAACTGCAGCTACTCAGTTGGTTGAAGCATAAGACTCATTCGAACCTGAGAGTCAGAGGTTGCAATGTGTCTCCACACTATATGCAGGTGACAGAGTGAGGCCCTGTCTCAAAAAACATGCAAAAAAAAAAAAAAACCCTTCATCAAATAATTTTTTCTAAAATCTCATAACGGTGTATGAATACATTTCTAAAGGTTTGTGCTGACTTGCCACAGAACCCTCAACAGTGATTCTCCACTGAGACATGGGAATGGGTGGAAGGCTGGACTGGAAAGGGGATGCATAAGTGTATTTTTCTTTGGACTTCTACTACACAATACATATATACATCACGTGGTGTTTAAAATAAAAGAATCAGCCAGGCGCGGTGGCTCAAGCCTGTAATCCCAGAACTTTGGGAGGCCGAGACGGGTGGATCACGAGGTCAGGAGATCGAGACCATCCTGGCTAACACAGTGAAACCCCGTCTCTACTAAAAAAATACAAAA